CATATCATATAGCTGACAACGTCTTCACTTTAGCTCATTTGTATTCATTATTACAGGAAAATAAACTCACAACAAGATCATTATTTACAAGTTAATGGCAAGCCAATTACAGAAAATAGCTTACGGTTGTGAGTGTGATTACATTTACATACATTTTAGTCATTTAGCAGACGCTCTTATCCAGAGCGACTTACAGTTAGTGCATACATTATTTTATTTTTCATACCCCCTGTGGGAATCGAACCCACAACCCTGGCGTTGCAAACACCATGCTCTATCAACTGAGCTACATCCCTGCCGGCCATTCGCTCCCCTACCCTGGGCCAATTGCACGCCGCCCCATGGGTCTCCCGGTCGCGGCCAGCTACGACAGAGCCTGGATTCGAACCAGGATCTCTAGTGGCACAGCTAGCACTGCGATGCAGTGCCTTAGACCACTGCGCCACTCGGGAGACTAAATAAAAGCAAGGCATTCTTCCGGAGAATTTTACGAACGTGGACACTTTGGTGCAGGTCATGTTGTTCTTCACATTGCTGTCTCTGGCAAACACATACAGTGCATTCAGTAAGTATTCAGACTCCTTGACTTTTTCCACATTTTGTTACGTAACAGCCTTGTTCTAAAAATGATTAAATGTTTTTTTTATCAATCTACACACAATACCCCATAATGACAAAGCAAAAACAGGTTTTTCAATTTTTTTGTTAATTTATTAATAATTAAAAATTGAAATATCACATTTACATAAGTATTCAGACCCTTTACTCATTACTTTCTCCCCTGATTGCTTAGTTTGGCCGGGCGGCCAGCTCTAGGAAGAGTCTTGGCGGTTCCAAACTTCTTCCATTTAAGAATGATGGACGCCACTGTGTTCTTGAGGACCTTCAATGCTGCAGAATTGTTTTGGTATCCTTCCCCAGATCTGTGCCTCGACAACAATCCTGTCTCAGAGCTCTACGGACAATTCCTTCGACCTCATGGCTTAGTTTTTGCTCTGACATGCATTGTCAACTGTGGGACCTTATATAGACAGGTGTGCGCCTTTCCAAATCATGTCCAATCAATTGAATTTACCACAGGTGGACTCCAATCAAGTTGTAGAAACATCTCAAGGGTGATTAATGAACGTTACTACCCTGCATGAATGATCAATAACGTTACTACCCTGCATGAATCTGCAGGTAGCTAACCAACCAGGTTCAATGTTAGTTAGCTAGCTAACATTAGGCTATAACTAGCAATGCAAATGACTCTGTGATACGAATAATATTACTACACAGATCATACACGTAACATTAGCTTGCGAGCCAGCCCGCTAACGTTAGCTAGCTAGCTAACAGTACACTTTAACTTGCAATGAAAAACGAATTTCTGACAAAATTAGAAACAATAAATGTCTGATTGTAGCTAGCTAGACTGGTTGCCTTTAGTTTGAAGAGACAGGTGTTTTATACAACAGCCTTCTGTGTGTTCTCTTTTCGACTCCCTCTGAATATTTTCAATCAAACGCCAGAATTTTCTCCATCTCCTTAGCTATCATACTCTGCTTCCACCGGGCATTCCACTGATTTCAAAACTCGGTCCTCCAGAAAGTGGAGAGCAACACTTTTTCAGTTCTACTACGTGATATCTTTTTTTTTTTAAAGCCACGTTAGAAAGGATTACCTACACATACTGACCAGCTCATGTTATAGACAGAAGCGTGCTACATGGCAGACCAATCCGAACTCATCTCTCGGCATGTCCAGCCCATCCATTACCTCAGCCAATCATGGCTAACGGGAAGGTTCCTGTCTTTTTCCGTGGCTAAACCAACTAGGCTTGTAATTTAACAATTGTATTCATATTTACAGATGGCATACAAGTTTGTTATTAAGGCACCTGAAAGTTCACATGTTCCAGGAGGCATTTCTGCCAAAAAACGCATTTTGATCAACAAAAAAAATTTAGTGACGCGCGACATACGCCTAGTTTCCTGAAACGAGTCACAAATACAGCAAGACTGTCCTGCTACTGTGCCTTTCTAGACCTTATAAACTGTCAAGAGTAGACCCACAATTGATCCAAATGGAATAAAACATTCAAATCACAGGGCTTTTGCGTCATTATTCAAATGACATTTTTCACTAGATTAGGATATTGTACTCACATGAAAATAATAATGCAATTATTCATTGCATTGTGGTGTTGTAGGCTAGTCTAGGATAATTGTATTGTCCCTTAACAGGATCAATAGGGGAGCTTTTTGAGCTGCGTGTCTCATGTCTTTACTGTTCTTTCATGTGCAATGATGCACCTGGCCCCTCCTCTGCCTATCAGCTATTCCTATTTGTTCTTGTGGATTCACATTGAAAATTGATGCAGCTTTGAATGCTTTTATGTGTGGTACGATTGCTAGTTAGCCTATTGCAGATCTGGACAAACGATCCACCTACCACTATTGTCACTATGAATGGTGGATAGAGGGCAGGATATACAGTTAGACTGGTAGACTATATTGACCTGTGGTATAGTCAAAGTTAGCATGTGGAAAAGCGTAGTGCATAAGGGAAGTACCAAAGCAGCCTTGATATAGGGGAGGCTCATGCAAACAGATGAGGAAATGTGGCTAGGATGGAAGACATTATATTGTAAAACCTGCAAAAGATCTAATGTTTATCAGGAAAAAAAACGCACTACCCTCCTCTGTGCCCAATAAAAACCACACAACACTCCCAAAGCAAAGAGTTAGACACCAATTTAGTTTTGGTACATTTTGTATGGTTTGATAAACTGGAGTTGCCCAGCATCCCCCCCACCTGGTTTTGTCCATCCCAAAACGAATGAGCATAATTTTAGAGTTAGGGGGGGGATGGAGCTGGGGAGAGGAGAAAGGGGGGGGGGAAGAGGGAAGGAAGCGAGAGGAGAGAGAGAGGACGAGCGAAGAGAGAGAGGAGGAGAAGAGAGATGAGAGAGATCTAGATCAGATCTATTATCTTCCTTCCCCCTCTCTGTATTCGTATTTCTCGATCGTCTATCTGCTCGCTCTCTAGCTCTCTATATCCTCCTCTCTCTCCCTATCTCTCTCTCTCTCTCTCTCTCTCTCTCTCCTCTCTCTTCTCTCTCTCCTCTCAGGCAGAGTGTGTGCGTGTAAGCCAGGAGCTCCCTGCCATGTTGTCCATTCACCATGGCTCAGTATGAATGCCCAGCAGGGGTCTTCTGGAGTGGACCCCACCCCTGAGCCCCCTGAGCCCCCACTCTACTGCACATGTCCAGATGGATAACTCACAGCCCCCCTGCTCGCCATCCGTACTGGACAGGCATAGCATCTCTGAGTGCTGATTATAACTTTGTGTGTGTGTGCGCGTGCGTGCGTAAGCGTGTGTGTGTGCCTCCGTGTGCGTTTGTGTGTGTGTTTCTGTGTCTGTTAAGGACGGTCTGCTCTAGTGTAGTCTGTCTCAGTGCTGTAATATGTTGCGGTTGTGGTCTGTCGCTCTTCACAGGGTGGTTGATGTGATTACTATAGCTGGAGGTGGTAGTGTGGGTCGTTGTGTGTATGTGGGGTAATGACTTCCACACAGAATGGTCCAGAATCCCGGCTAAGTAAAACCTCTGGCAGTGAGAAGGGAAATGGCTGCAAACGGTTTAATGACTTAATAAGACCCAATTAGTGTAAATGGAGGAGAAGAGAGAGGAGCAGTGGAGGTGAGCTGGGGTGACTGAGTGTTCCTTGGCTATAGCAGCCAGCCCTCTTCTATTAGCTGATGAAAAGTAGGCCTCTGATGTGTTTTCCATCCCAGGAACACCTCTGGATAACAGAACAGCACACTGCTGCTTTCGGGTGCTCTCGTGCTATCTCTTTCACACACACACACACACACACACACACACACACACACACACACACACACACACACACACACACACACACACACACACACACACACACACACACACACACACACACACACACACACACACACACACACACACAACAAACAAACAAACACAAAAAGCCATATGCCCACATACAAGGACAATGGAGTTTTGTGCGTGTGTGCGTTTGTTATGTGTGTTATGTATGTGTGTGTGTTGGCAGGTGTATGCCAGGGCGTGGTGTGTGTAGTGTGTAGTGGAGGCCTTTGAGAGCATTACCCTGCTCTGAGACAGGGGTGGTGGGGGGTCAGCCCTCATTTAATCAAGGAAATAATTCCATCTCCCATTAAGTTAATTAATCTAAGGCCTTGCTCAAAACAGAACCAGAGGGAAACACACCCGGAACACTACGTTGTGTGGTGTGTGTGTGTGTGTGTGGGTGTGTGTGTGTGTGGGGGTGGGTGGGTGGGTGAGTGTGTGTGTGGTGTACGCACACGTGTTTGAGTGAGATGTGCATGTTCAGTTATGCTCCTGTATGGTTAGCCACATGGTTCTTTTGACATGAACAGTATGTTCACTAGGAGACAGTTCTAAATGGTACATTGATCATGGCTTTTCAGCCAAACAACAGAAGGAAATCCACTGACACCAACTATACAGATCAATAGATACAAATCCTTGTTATTTGTTGTTTGCAATCAATGTGTTTTTGGACTTTTCGGTATGGGAATAGTCTCTCACTTCAAAATGTATGATTGTTGGTTGTTGTTTGCCCAACACTTTTCTGGGCATATTACAACTCCGTAAACCTGTTAAACTCTCATACACTGACAGTACACAGGTTGATCAACAGGATGTGAAGTTGTTTACCTATGCCGCTGCAAACGGGGTATGCATACAGCCAAAGATAAAAACTGGAATGTGCCAACTACAGGGAATAGCCTTGAAGCATTTTAAAGATATCCAGTTGAGTGTTGCATGTTTTGTAGCAATTTAACATTTTCTGGTTTGGCCCCTTCATTCCTTCTCTCCCTCCGCCATCTCTCACGCTAACCTGTCTCCCCATGCACACTAATCTCAGACCACTCATGTCAGTCAGGATTTGGAGTCTAACTCTCTCTCACCCCCCCTCCCCCCTTCTCTCCCCCTCCAGAGAAGCCTGTGATGGTGGAGCTGAGCTGTGGGGCAGGGCCTGTCCTCGTGGTACTGGAGCTGGGACAGCCCCTGCTGTTGGAATGTCACCTGGGGGCCACGCCCCTGGACACGCCTCTCAACGTCACCTGGCTGCAGGATGGGTTACCCGTGCTGGAGGGGGAGGGGGACTCCCTCAGGACCCTGGCCAACGGCTCACTGCTGGTGCTGCCCACCTCTGTGGATGGCCGGACCCCTCAGGGGGTGGAGGGGGGCTACAGCTGTGTGAGCGCCGGCCCCTTTGGAGCCCTGACCAGCCGCACCATCACCGTTCACCTGGCCAGTGAGTATTACTATTTCTCAGACAGGGCGGGGCTGTGCCCGCTCAACTCCACCAGGGTCAGACTCACATGGAATGGCATGATGGTCTGGTGTCCCCACACAGGCGCACAGCCACATTCCTCAGGGGGATTTCTGTGCTTGGTTGAAAATGAACTTGGTCCTCCTCTGTCTCAGACAAGGGTTTGATTGTGTGGCTGGTCGGCCGCACCGGTGGTGTCCTGGGAACAGGTAGGCTCCACTCCGGTGGTGTCCTGGGAACAGGTAGGCTCCACACTGGTGGTGTCCTGGGAACAGGTAGGCTCCACACCGGTGGTGTCCTGGGAACAGGTAGGCTCCACACCGGTGGTGTCCTGGGAACAGGTAGGCTCCACACTGGTGGTGTCCTGGGAACAGGTAGGCTCCACACCGGTGGTGTCCTGGGAACAGGTAGGCTCCACACCGGTGGTGTCCTGGGAACAGGTAGGCTCCACACCGGGGGTGTCCTGGGAACAGGTAGGCTCCACACCGGTGGTGTCCTGGGAACAGGTAGGCTCCACACCGGTGGGCTGAGGACAGACAGGGGGAAGGGGGAAGAGCAAGAGAGTGAGTGGGATTGAGAGAGAGGGAGATAGAGAGAGGGTAGCAAGAGATCCGGCTTACCCCCTCTCCTCCCTCTCCCCTCTCCTCTCCCCTCACTCTCTCCTCCCGTAGAGCTGCTTTCATTATCCTCTGTAAAAGTGGCAGTCTTTATTCAGTCATTAGCTTTGTGTAGAATGGGACTGTATCCTCTATGGAGGTTCTTCCTTTTGTCAGCTGTCACATGCCTATTTATGAGGATGCCTTGTTTGGGGGGAACGAGGGGACAATGAGGGAGGGCAGTGAGGACTGAGAGGGATGAAGGGAGGGAGGAAGGGAGGGAGGTGGCTGAGGAGTTAGGATTGGTGAAAAGAGAGGGAAGTAGGAAGGTAGAGGAGGATACATTGGGGAGGAAGGGGTGGGAGGTGACTGAGGAGTTTGGGATGGTGAAGGCAGAGGCTGTTCTGGGAGAGAGACTAATAAGTGTGTCCTTCAAAAGGTGTCTGTGGAGGGAGCTGGTAAATGTAATGTGCTGTAGACTGCTACTGCTGTGAGATGGATGGGCTGCTGGAGACAGGGCCAGGGGGCTGCATGCAATGGGCCTCAACGAGCACACTGACATTGAGCAGACAGAGCAGAGGCCCCTTTCTGTCTCTCTTTCTGTCTGTCTGTTTCATGTCTTTACCACCAACCAATTAGGAGGCAGAACAACATCACATGAGATAAATGTGTGACAGTCCTTTGTCTCCAATACCCTAAACATGTTTTATGTGCATGGCTCTTCTGAATGCTCCCTTCATGTGACTTTGTCCAAAAAGCAAGTGAGTTTGTTAAAGAGAGTGAGAGGGGGGAGGGGTAAATCGTGGTAGAGAAGGAGGGGAGGAGAGGAGTTGGTGGACATGCCGACAGACAGAGAGCAGGGAAGCCATGGGTTGTGGTTGGAGAGTACAAGGGGAGGGGAAGAAAGTTGCAATCTGATCGCTGAGGGGCCAAAGAATGGGGCAGAGACAGAAAGAGGGAGAGAGAGGGGGAACGGAGAGGACAGGAGAAAGAAAGAGAGGGGAGGCACAGAGAGAACAGGAACAGACAGAGAAGGGAGAGACTATAGATAAACGTGCTATGGATTGAACTCATATAGAGCACAAGACATGCTAACAGATTTAGTAGGTACAGTAATCAATTTAATCTGGTCCATTCACTCAGTAGGTTAATCATTAGCCCAGTTGGCCACAACAGTTACAAGTGCTAGCTTACTTTACAGTATTGGATGACCTGTTATCTAGCTAGCTGCTCTGTGTGCTCATTGAGAAACTTTGCTCCGTTTGGGCTTTGTGTGTGTGTGTGTGTGTGTGTGTGTGTGTGTGTGTGTGTGTGTGTGTGTGTGTGTGTGTGTGTGTGTACAGTAACTCGTTTTTGCCATGACAGTTGCTGAGCTTATTTGTGCTGTTAGTCAGCTGATAATATGTGGCTTTCTGAAGAACTGTGCCATGTGAGAATCAGCTCAGACAGTCATGGAAAGTAGTTGTGACAGATTTATGTTTGGTCGCTAGGTAGGATTAGTCCTTTCATGTTTTATGAAGCATGGCTAATGCGTCACATTTGCAAATCATTTCCAAATTTATTTTTAAGTGCATGTCTTGGGCTTTTACAGTCCAATGGAGAAATTAGGAAAAACTTCAGGATGTAAGGATGTCACTATTTCTTCAAGTGCTTTATGTATGGCTGAATGTGTAGTCTGTCACAACGGTTTGGTGAGAATACAATTTGAAGGTAATCTTGGATTGGTATGTTCAGTTCTTTAGGACTGCGGGCTGGACAGAACAGCTTGCAACCCTGGAGCTGATTGATGAGGTAGTCAGAGCTCTTGTGTTTCCGCATAATGCCCCAACTCAGTCTGGCCTGAGGTCGGGGCCCCCTCAGCCCTATAAGACTCAGCTCCAGGACTCACTGCTGCCCCCTGCTGTTAACTACAGTTATTACGTGTGGGCTACAGACTTGCTGACTGCATCTCTCTCTCTCTGTCTCTCTCTCTTTCTCTTTCTCCCTCTCTCTTGATGTCTGTCTCTCTATCTCTATCTCTCTCTCCCTCACCTTTCTCCATCACTCCCAGCGCTGTCTCGTTTCCATCAGGACCCAGAGGCCCAGGTGGTGCCCGTGGGGGGTGCTTCCCGCTTTGAGTGCCAGATAGATGGAGTGCCCACGCCAAGGATAACCTGGGAGAAGGACCAGGAACCCATCCCCAGCCAGCCTAGGTGAAACTCACGCACACACACACGCACACACACACATACACAAACACAAACACACACACTCACAAACACACATGATGATGCACTCCAGTAGAGCCTGGCAGTAAGTGATTGTCTGTTCTACTTGGTCCCAATGTTGTCCCCTGAGAGAGCTCCAGCTGGCCAGCAGAGACTGGATCTGTACTAAGGTCCATGCTGACACTGATCATGTGAGGGCTGTGCTCCCTCCACCATTCTACTTCATTGCATAATGGCAGTCAGGGAATATCCTGAGAATTTGGTAGGAAGTAAAATGAAATGAGTACATTTTGGTCTTTTTCAGTAGTGCGGAGTTCAGAGATAAGGGATGGACACAGGTCTGTTGGTTTCCTCTCTGTCCGTCAGCCAGAGGCTGAAGGTCAGGGCCACAAAGTGCAGCCTGGTCACTTTCTGTGTTCTGTTTGTTCTACTCCCAAAACCCCTCCTGCATCTCCCTTTCACATGGCTACAGGCTGCCAGTCCAGTGCCTAGGAACTGATGTGCTTTGAATCTAATTGGGTGGAAAGATGCACATAATCTACTGCACATGACTCCGCTCCCTCCCTTCTCCTCCCTGGCTTTCCTCTCTCCTCGCTCCTTTCGTCTCCCTCACGGGAGAGATTTGGCCCTTTTAAAATTAAGTTACACTTTTTTCCAACTGCTCTGTCCTTATCAATCGTAGAAAGACTGGCAGCTGTTTGTTAGTAATTTAGATGCATATCACACACACACACTTATACAGTATACAGGATAAAGTGAATTACTGTTCATGGCTTGCCTCGGCGTGATCATGTGTTGAGTTGATGGCCTGTATATTTTTGCCCTTCAAAGGCCATGGCCAACATATGGCTGTTCACATTACTACTTGTTTGTATGTGTGTAACATGGTTAAACTGACTAACATTATTATAACGTTTGAGGACCATTGCCGCTGACCATTCTTGACCACACAGAGTGGACAAGGGCATGAAAGGAACAGAGAGGGGGGCAGGACCAGTGTGCTAACAATACCCTGTGCATTGACAGCCAGGGCTGAACAGTGGACAATCATGTAGCGCTACTTTTAGAAACCCCCAATTAAAGCCTTCCCGTCTGCCTGAAAACTCAAATGCACACTCTCACAGCCGAGCAGCGGCTACACACACACACACACACACACACACACACACACACACACACACACACACACTCTCACTAGTCACCAGAAACGGTCACACTCTCATGCTCATTTACCCAAGCACTTAACGCTATTGATGTTTCTGCCTCAGCTCTGCTGTTGGCTATACATTTGTGCCTGCCTGACATTATTAGAGGCATCTGGCTCAAAAAGGGTCTATCCCTGTGTGACCCAAAGCCCAATGCTGAACCACGCTGTACAGTGCTGTGATGTTGTTGGGCTGACACACAGTGGTACTAATGGGCAGCAGTAGAGATGAGACCCAGACCAGAGACCAGGGTTGTGTACAGTCTCTCTGTTACAATGATGAGCTCTGTCTGTCTGTCTGTCTGTCTGTCTGTCTGTCTGTCTGTCTGTCTGTCTGTCTGTCTGTCTGTCTGTCTGTCTGTCTGTCTGTCTGTCTGTCAGGGGATTAGTAGTCCATCATCATAGAGTTAAAAGGCTGTGGAATAGGAGTTGAATAGTTGAAAGCCCAGGCCTCAGGCTCAGAGGAACCATCCAGACGTGAGTGTGTGTGCGTGCGCGTGTGTGTGTGTGTGTGTGGAACCTGACCTGTCTTCCATGGCAGAAGGGAGGGAGGGAGGGAGGGGGGAGGGAGGGGGAAGAGGAGCTGGTGGGATAAATATTGACAAGAGTCGGCACAACCAGAAGCCATGGCTGCTTCTAAAAGCTGTTTTGCAATGCGCAATCTCTCTGACCTAGATTGAGAGCTCTTTGTTCCCTTATATCTATCAGTAAAGATTTCTAAAGATGTATTTATTTCTAGTCTCTTCTTCTTCTCCCCTCTTTATGTCTTCTCTCTCATTAGGTAGGCAGTGGGAATACTATGTATCTTGTGTCATTTCTTTTTTCTTCCTTTCTTTTGTCTACTTTTATTTTAGATTCTCAATGTTTGGACGGTGTTATGCTAAATAGCTGTTAGATGTAAGGATAGTGTAGCCTAATGGCTGTCCCTGGAGACCTACTCCTGTAGTTCTGTATGGTGGTAATGAGCTGGGGAGAGAGTGTACACAGTGGGAGATTACCAGTGAGGTGTTATTATCAGTGGTGGAGAAAGTACTCAATTGTCATTACATTTTTTACATTTTAGTCATTTAGCAGACGCTCTTATCCAGAGCGACTTACAGTTATCACATACATTATTTTATCGAACCCACAACCCTGGCGTTGCAAACGCCATGCTCTACCAACTGAGCTACATCCCCTGCCGGCCATTCCCTCCCCTACCCTGGACGACGCTGGGCCAATTGTGCGCCGCCCCATGGGTCTCCCGGTCGCGGCCGGCTACGACAGAGCCTGGATTCGAACCAGGATCTCTAGTGGCACAGCTAGCACTGCGATGCAGTGCCTTAGACCACTGCGTCACTCGGGAGAGATACTTGAGTAAAAGTAAAGATACCTTAATAGAAAATTACTCAAGTAAAAGTAAAGTCACCCAGTAAAATACTACTTCAGTAAAAGTCTAAAAGTATTTGGTTTGAAATATACTTAAGTATTACAATTGAATGGAATTGCTCAAATGTACTTAAGTATCAAAAGTAAAAGTATAAACCATTTCAAATTCCTTATTTTAAGCAAACCAGACGGCACAATTTTCTTGTTTTGTATTTATTGACGGATCGCCAGGGGCACACTCCAACACTCAGACATAATTTACAAACGTAGCATTTGTGTTTAGTGAGTCCACCAGATCAGAGGCAGTAGGGATGACCAGGGATGTTCTCTTGATGTGTGTGAATCGGACCATTTTCCTGTCAAAATGTAATTTTGGGTGTCAGGGAAAATGTATGGAGTATGAAGTACATTATTTTCTTTAGGAATGTAGTGAAGTAAAAGTAAAAGTGAGGCAAAAATATAAATAGTAAAGTAAAGTACAGATACCCCAAAAATCGACTTAAGTAGTACTTTAAAGTATTTGTACTTAAGTACTTTACACCACAGGTTATTATATCTCTCTTCTGAGATCTAAGCACTAGTTCTCACTTTCTCCTTTCTCTCTCCCCCCACACTCTCTCTCTCTCTCCTTCCCCCCCTCTCTCTCTCCCTTTCTCTCTCTCTCTCTCTCTCTCTCTCTCTCTCTCTCTCTCTCTCTCTCTCTCTCTCTCTCTCTCTCTCTCTCTCTCTCTCTCTCTCTCTCTCTCTCTCTCTCTCTCTCTCTCTTGCTCTCTCTCCATCCCTCTGTCTCCAGGTTCATCTCTCTCCCTAACGGTGTGCTCCAGATCTTGGGGGTGGTTAAGGAGGATGGGGGTGCGTACCGCTGTGTGGCCTCTAACTCTGCCCGGAAACGCTTCAGCCAGGATGCCATCCTCACTGTCACTACAGGTATGTTATGCTCTCTCTCTCTCTCTCTCTCTCTCTCTCTCTCTCTCTCTCTCTCTCTCTCTCTCTCTCTCTCTCTCTCTCTCTCTCTCTCGCTCTCTCTCTCTCAATCTCTCTCTCTCTCTTTCTGATGAAGTCTGTAGGCAAATTATCCCTTTGGATGTGCTTGATCCCTCTGTCTGGGTCTGCTCTTTCAATGCCCTATTTAGTGGATGGCTTCCTGCTTATATGTATTTCCTGTAAGTGTATGCTGGAATGAGAGAGCTAAAGAGACAGAGATGGCTCCAGACCTATGGTCTCATGTCTGATATCAGCAGGCTGGAAGCAGTATACACAGCCTCGCTCTGCTCTCCACACCCACGTCTCTTCACTTTTTACTAAAGGTACATTACTAGTGGAGATCAATCCTAGCCTTTAATTGGCTCTGTTAAACTTTTGTGTCTGTGGAAGGTCTATGTCTAGGTCTATTTTTATGTGAGCATTAGCGTATTGAGCTTGTTGCCTGGACACAAGACTGAACTGTGTGGAAATGCCTGCAACCTGTGGAACTACTAGGGAAACAGAGATTAATCACCTCTCTGCACCCTGCAGCATGTCCACACACACACACACACATAGAGACACGCACACACACAAATAGACATGCACACGTAGAGACACACACACAGGCAGACGCCCAAAAATCTTGAGATTCACAGAGACATGCATAGAAACAAATGGCAGACTGATGGTGAGGACATTAGATTCACTCATTCAACTGTGCGTTATATTGATGACTCGATACTACTTGACTCACTTATACCTTCTCTCTCTCCCACATACGCACAGATGCGCACACAAACACCACACACACTTTCACATGCACACACACATAGTCACATACCACACATATTTCACACACGCAGAAATGCACATAAACACGCACACACAGTCACACAGACAGCCTGAGCAGGAAATAAGTGAAGAAATTACAGCATTCCTGCCTTTTTCACACCACTCAGTATCCAACAGACTGTGTGAAGTGATGCTAACTTACAGTAGCAGGTATTTGGTGTGACCCCAAGCCTGCTGCCTTAGAAACCTGGAGGTCAGAGAAGAAAGCACTCCCAGACTTTTTATGAGGTGTTACGTAAAACGCACGTCAAATCTAATGCCATCACATCTCTTGCCTTCACTTTGGAAGAGGTCTATGAATAAAATGCCTGAACACCAATGCCATCTTCCTGACAGAATGATGGTGAGCACATCAACTCCACTTATTCAATTGTACATTATGTCTATACCTTTATATACTGAACAAAAATATAAACGCAACATGCAACAATTTCAACGATTTTACTGAGTTACAGTTCATATAAGAAAATCAGTCAATTGAAATAAATTAATTAGGCCCTAATCTATGGATTTCACATGACTGGGCAGGGGCGCAGCCATGGGTGGGCCTGGGAAGGCATAGGCCACCCACTTGGCAGCCAGGCCCACCCAATGGGGAGCCAGGCCCAGCCAATCAGAATGAGTTTGTCCCCACAAAATGTCTTTATTACAGACAGAAATACTCCTCAGCCCCCCCCCCCTCCTTATATGATCATGCAGGTGAATAAGCCGGATGTGGAGGTCCTGGGCTGGTGTGGTACACGTGGTCTGCGGTTGTGAGGCCGGTTGGACATAATGCCAAATTATCTAAAACGACGTTGGAGGTGGCTTATGGTAGAGAAATTAACATTAAATTATCTGGCAACAGCTCTGGCGGACATTCTTGCAGTCAGCATGCCAATTGCACGCTCCCTCAAAACTTGAGAAATCTGTGGCATTGAGTTGTGTGACAAAACTGCACATTTTAAAGTGGCCTTTTATTGTCCACAGCACAAGGTGCACCTGTGTAATGATCATGCTGTTTATCTTGGCAAAGGAGAAATGTTCACTAACAGGGATGTAAACAAATTTGTGCACTAAATCTGAGATAAATACGTTTTTTGTGTGTATGGAAAATGTCAGGGATTTTCAGCTCATGAAACATAGGACCAACACTTTACATGTTGCGTTTACATTTTTGTTCAGTGTACTTTCTCTCTCTCATCCACGCATACACACGCATGTGCGCATGCAACGCACACACACACACGTACACACACACTCTGAGCACAGAACTTACACAAAACCATATCAAGGCACATCCTGCAATCCTGGGAGAACTCGACTGGCCCATTTAAAACCCTGAGCCCTCATGCATAACCAAGTAGTGCTGTATGTATGCTCAATTATTAATTTATAATGTGCTTACAGTATCCCAGGAACCCTGCTGGAGCTCATTATCATAATGTAGGCTCTGAGCAGAGAGACAGGCAGAGCACCCAGTCCCAGGCAGTGTGATGGGCCTCCCTTCCTACAATAATTGCCCCTAGAGGCACTCACACAGAGCCACTAAAAATAAGGGCCTCATCTGCTCTGCTAATGCACACTTTTACTCCTCCAAGAAAATGATGGAGATTTATTTAGTCATATAGTTTGGCAGAATTACAGCACCATGCTCTCAGAGTAAGGCCCTCACTGCCTCTCCTCCAATATCTGATTCACCCCTCTCCCTGAGATGCCCTCACTTTCTTTCTCTTCCTCCCTCCATCTTCCCCTCATTTACTCTCTCTGTCAATCCATCTCAACAATAAGTGACTCCAAAGAGGTTTAGCATACTAAATATAGAGCCTTCTTCTCCTCTCTTAAGCCCATTGGGGTAGCTAGCTAACCTGGTTAACATTATTTCTGGTTTAACCAGGCTAATAGCTAGCTCTGTCTCCTCCACTCCTCTTCCTGACAGAGCTGCTAGTTGTCCTAAACAGTGTTGGCAACAATTTTTCAGTGAGAATAATGGCTCCTTGATTTGTCGCTAGAAGTCGCTAGATGACGTTTTGCATTGCTGCGACGACGTCACAGCACCAATTTGCCTTGCTGCGGCACAGCTGCGGTCCCCGACATCACATTTTTGCCCCCTCTCCTGCCGCAAACCCCCTCCCCTTGTGCTTCTCTACCTGTGTGTGCGCCGTTGTCTCCCATTCTTGTTAGTGGCAGAATTGTGTGGGAAAAGTCGCTAAATGCTATCAAAACCATAGAAACTCCCCAAAGGCAGCCTGAAAAGTAGCTGAATTTGTCGCTAGCCTCTTACCAATAAAAGTAACTGGAGGGGTCTGAAAACTTGCTAAATATAGCGACAAAGTCGCTAAATTGGTAACACTGGTCCTAACTAACCGAGAGGGCCAAGCTTTAATCCCTGTGGGCCCAAGGGGAAACTAGAGTGGTGTCAGGTGATCTTACCTCCCCTATTGAGAGCTGCTGTGATGTCATAGTGATGGACAGGACAGGACAGGACTGGTGGTGCTTTCAAGACAACTGGGAACTCGGGGGAAAAAATATGGTCAAATCATGACGTCAGTGATCTTCAGGTCAGAAAGTCAGAGTTCTAGATAAATGCCAGAGTTTCCAACTTGGAATTCCAAGTTGGATGACCATTCAAAACGATTTTCCCAGTCAGAGCTAGTTTTTTTCTGAGTTCCCAGTTGTCTTGAACGGTTCCGAGTTGTTTTGAACGCGGCATCGGTTCTGCTCTGCTCTCTACTGCCCCCTGCTTCCTGTCCTTACACTGAATCCTGACAAGGGACCCAGCATTGTCTTACATCAGATAGCGCCACAACTCTGCCTGCACTGAGTTCATTAGTAGGGCATTTGTGACACGTGGCGTTAGAATGACGCTATCTGATATAAGACATTGAGGGTTAGAGGTGGTTGTAAGGCAGTTGTTGATTCCTGTGTCTGTCTGTGTTGTGTCTGTGTTGTGTCTGTGATGTGTCTGTGATGTGTTTGTGTGCCCAGGTCCTGTCCCTGCCCAGAGTGAGGTGGTGATCATGGCACCTCCTCAGAATGCCACGGTGGTGCAGGGGCATCCAGCGGTGATGGAGTGTGTGGCCCAGGGGGGGCAGCCCAAACCCCTGGTGTCCTGGAGCAGACAGGGTAAGACTCTCTCTCAATCCCTCCCATCGGTCCCTCTTCAGACTCACTACCAATGTCACAGCGAGAGCCTGGTCCATACTTTGGTACTAAGCTCCTGTGTCATTCCTGTAATATCATCTTCATTGTGTTTCATATTTGTACCATCGCATTCGATCATCCATCTGTTATTTACAAGCTGTAATTGTTGCCTTATCCTTCCAGTTTCAGTCATTTCATTATGTTAGTAGTGAGTCATATCATTGATTTCAAGGATAAAGCGGGGTAAGCTGACCACTAATGAATGATGTTGTTGGACTTACTTGACTCCTGTTTTTTGAAATGCTTAACAAGTCTTTACCTAAGGAGACTTGTAAACAACATAGTAGAGTGAGAATGAATGACGCCCTGTGAAATTTGAGGAATTCCCTCCTCCTGCTGTCAGAGAGTTGGCAGCTTCTCCTCTGTATCCTCCAGCTCTAGAGCAGCAGAGACAAAACAACTCCCCTGTCATCACAGAGATCTCACAGTGCCACCTAGTGTTTTTAATTGCTTTAGTTTGGTGTTTCCTGATCTTTTTTCTCTGAAATCGCTTGCTTCCTTTCTGCTCTCACTCCTGGACACAGATGGGAAGCCCATCGCCACCGACGTGGTTGTCCTGGAAACCAACCTCGTGATCCCCAACACACGGCGTTACCATGCGGGGGTCTACGTCTGCCGTGCCAACAAACCCAAGACCCGCGAGTTTGTCATCGCTGCGGCTGAACTGCATGTGCCAGGTAAGAAGAAGAGTATGTGAGTGTGAGAATGGGATATAGATTGCATGTTTGGCTTCGATCTTAGATCTCTGGTCCTCTAGTAAATTGTAATACAGTGGGGAGAACAAGTATTTGATACACTGCCGATTTTGCAGGTTTTCCTACTTACAAAGCATGTAGAGGTCTGTAATTTTTATCATAGGTACACTTCAACTGTGAGAGACGGAATCTAAAACAAAAATCCCGAAAATCACATTGTATGATTTCTAAGTAATTAATTTGCATTTTATTGCATGACATAAGTATTTGATCACCTACCAACCAGTAAGAATTCCGGCTCTCACAGATCTGTTAGTTTTTCTTTAAGAAGCCCTCCTGTTCTCCACTCATTACCTGTATTAACTGCACCTGTTTGAACTCGTTACCTGTATAAAAGACACCTGTCCACACACTCAATCAAACAGACTCCAACCTCTCCACAATGGCCAAGACCAGAGAGCTGTGTAAGGACATCAGGGATACAATTGTAGACCTGCACAAGGCTGGGATGGGCTACAGGACAATAGGCAAGCAGCTTGGTGAGAAGGCAACAACTGTTGGCGCAATTATTAGAAAATGGAAGAAGTTCAAGATGACGGTCAATCACCCTCGGTCTGGGGCTCCATGCAAGATCTCACCTCGTGGGGCATCAATGATCATGAGGAAGGTGAGGGATCAGCCCAGAACTACACGGCAGGACCTGGTCAATGACCTGAAGAGAGCTGGGACCACAGTCTCAAAGAAAACCACTACGTCGTCATGGATTAAAATCCTGCAGCGCACGCAATGTCCCCCTGCTCAAGCCAGCGCATGTCCAGGCCCGTCTGAAGTTTGCCAATGACCATCTGGATGATCCAGAGGAGGAATAGGAGAAGGTCATGTGGTCTGATGAGACAAAAATAGAGCTTTTTGGTCTAAACTCCACTCGCCGTGTTTGGAGGAAGAAGAAGGATGAGTACAACCCCAAGAACACCATCCCAACTGTGACGCATGGAGGTGGAAACATCATTCTTTGGGGATGCTTTTCTGCAAAGGGGACAGGATGACTGCACCGTATTGAGGGGAGGATGGATGGGGCCATGTATCGCGAGATCTTGGGCAACAACCTCCTTCCCTCAGTAAGATCATTGAAGATGGGTCGTGGCTGGGTCTTCCAGCATGACAACGACCCGAAACACACAGCCAGGGCAACTAAGGAGTGGCTCCGTAAGAAGCATCTCAAGGTCCTGGAGTGGCCTAGCCAGTCTCCAGACCTGAACCCAATAGAAAATCTTTGGAGGGAGCTGAAAGTCCGTATTGCCCAGCGACAGCCCCGACACCTGAAGGATCTGGAGAAGGTCTGTATGGAGGAGTGGGACAAAATCCCTGCTGCAGTGTGTGCAAACATGGTCAAGACCTACAGGAAACGTATGATCTCTGTAATTGCAAACAAAGGTTTCTGTACCAAATATTAAGTTCTGCTTTTCTGATGTATCAAATACTTATGTCATGCAATAAAATGCAAATTAATTACTTAAAAATCATACAATGTGATTTTCTGGATTTTTGTTTTAGATTCCGTCTCTCACAGTTGAAGTGTACCTATGATAAAACTTACAGACCTCTACATGCTTTGTAAGTAGGAAAACATGCAAAATCGGCAGTGTATCAAATACTTGTTCTCCCCACTGTATATGTGTTGCTGTGAAGGATTTTTTTTCCTAAGAAAGATGTTTCTCTATTCGTATTCTCCCAGCCCCACCAGTGATCCTCCAGCCCCCAGAGACGGTGTCTCTCTCTCGGGGAAACACAGCAAGGTTTGTGTGTAACAGCTCTGGGGAGCCTCCCCCGGCGCTGCACTGGCTGAAGAATGGCAAGCCAGTCAAGTCTAACGGGCGGGTGAAGACCCAGAGCCCTGGGGTTCTGCTCATCAACCAGCTGGGCCTGGATGACGCAGGGTACTACCAGTGCATCGCTGACAACGCTCTGGGAACGGCCTGTGCTACAGCCAAGCTGTCTGTCATCGTGAGAGAAGGTCTACCCAGCCCGCCACGCCAGCTCTCTGCCACACCCCACTCAAGCACCACCGCCCTCCTCACCTGGGAACGGCCCGAACACAACAGCGACCAGATTATAGGCTTCTCTGTGCACTACCAGCCAACTTCAGGTGTGTGTGTGTTTGTGTGTGTGTGTTTGATGGACAAACCTATAGGCCTGTACGTATGATATCTATGCACAAGGATGCTAGCTAGTTTCAAGTGTATAGGCATTAACATGCATTGGTGTCTGGTTCATCGGTAGCATGGTAAAGAATGACACTGTCAGGTCAAGCTGAGTGTGTCCTGTGCTCCTGGTAAAACACTGAACTTGTATGGTCCACAGGCTCTGATAACATGGAATACCAGTTTGCTGTGAACAACGACACCACAGAGTACCATGTGAAGGAGCTACTGCCACACACAACCTATACCTTCTACGTGGTGGCCTACTCCCCCATGGGAGCCAGCCGCCCGTCACTGCCCGTCACCGTGGAGATGCTGGAGGACGGTGAGTAGGCATGAAGACCAAAGACCTCACTTCTCAAAGGAAAATAACAGTGACACAGTTAGATCTAATGCATCTATATGACAGCCTACATGAGTCATCATACACTTGAGGATAAATAGAACGTATGACACGGTCAATTTTAATACAACCTATTTTATACATGAATGACACACCAAAGTAGATATTGTTGCCCGATAATGTAATGAATAAAGTGGTATAGTGGCCTGTAGAATAGTATGGGTGATGTGTGGATACTAACAGTGTCCTTGTACCTGATCTGACATGATCTACTCCCCAGTGCCCCTCCAGAGTATATGATAGGCTACTTAAGTCAACAGACACTAGCTGTAATGCAAACTACAGTGCATTCAGAAAGTATTCAGACCCCTTGACCTTTTCCACATTTTGTTACATTACAGCCTTGTTCTAAAATGGATGAAATTATTTTTTTCCCCTCATCAATATACACACAATACCCCATAATGACAAAGTGAAAACAGGTTTTTAGAATTTTTTGCACATTTATTAAAAATAAAAAACAGAAATATCTTATTTACGTAAGTATTCAGACCCTTTGCTATGAGACTCGAAATTGAGCTCAGGTGCATCCTGTTTCCATTGATCACCCTTGAGATGTTTCTACAACTTGATTGGAGTCCACCTGTGGTAAATTCAATTCATTGGACATGATTTGGAAAGGCGCACACCTGTCTATATAAGGTCCCACAGTTGACAGTGCATGTCAGAGCAAAAACTAAGCCATGAGGTCGAAGGAATTGTCCGTAGAGCTCCGAGACAGGATTGTGTTGAGGCTCAGATCTGGGGAAGGATACCAAAAAATGTCTGCAGCATTGAAGGTCCTCAAGAACACAGTCGCCTCCATCATTCTTAAATGGAAGAAGTTTGGAACCACCAAGATTCTTCCTAGAGCTGGCCGCCCAGCCAAACTGAGCAATCGCGGGAGAAGGGCCTTGGTCAGGGAAGTGACCAAGAACCCGATGGTCACTCTGACAGAGCTCCAGATTTCCTCTGTGGAGATGGGAGAACCTTCCAGAAGGACAACTTCACCAATCAGGCCTTTATGGTAGTGGGCAGACGGAAGCCACTCCTCAGTAAAAGGCACATGACATCCCGCTTGGAGTTTGCCAAAAGGCACCTAAAGGACTCTCAGACCATGAGAAACAAAATTCTCTGGTCTGATGAAACCAAGATTGAACTCTTTGGCCTGAATGCCAAGTGTCACGTCTGGAGGAAACCTGGCACCATCCCTACGGTGAAGCATGGTGGTGGCAGCATCATGCTGTGGGGATGTTTCTCAGCGGCAGGGACTGGGAGACTAGTCAGGATTGAGGGAAAGATGAACGGAGCAAAGTACAGAGAGATACTTGATGAAAACCTGCTCCAAAGCGCTCAGAACCTCAGACTGGGGCGAAGTTCACCTTCCAACAGGACAACAACACTAAGCACACAGCCAAGACAACGCAGGAGTGGCTTCGGGACAAGTCTCTGAATGTCCTTGAGTGGCCCAGCCAGAGCCCAGACTTGAACCCGATCGAACAACTCTGGGGAGACCTGAAAATGGCTGTGCAGCAACGTTCCCCATCCAACCTGACAGAGCTTGAGAGGATCTGCAGAGAAGAATGGGAGAAACTCCCCAAATACAGGTGTGCCAAGCTTGTAGCGTCATACCCAAGAAGACTCGAGGCTGATATCGCTGCCAAAGGTGTTTCAACAAAGTACTGAGTAAAGGTTCTGAATACTTAAGTAAATGTGATATTTCAGTTTTTTATGTTTAATAAATTTGCTAAAATTCCTAAAAACCTGTTTTTGCTTTGTCATTATGAGGTATTGTGTGTAGATTGATGAGGGGGGAAAAATAATTTAATCAATTTTAGAATAATGCTGTAACATAACAAAATGTGGAAAAAGTCAAAGGGTCTGAATACTTTCCGAATGCACTGTATATGATACATGAATGATGCCCCAAAGTAGTTATCGTTTCCTGTCAACTATGTGATTCTACTGGGTTGTTAAGTGATAATGTGATGAATAAAGTGGTTGACCTATACGTATAGCCTTGATTATATGTTCAATGTATGGATACTAAGAATGTCCTGCCATGCTCTACCCCACAGTACCCAGTGCCCCTCCACAGCTGTCCCTGCTCAGCACCTCCCCTACAGACATCAGAGTGATGTGGCTGCCCCTGTCCTCCCAGCACAGCAGAGGAGCTGTCACCCGCTACCGCATCGACTACTGCAAACTGGAACAGGGTGAGCACAGCGCCATCTACTGGCACGGATGCCACAGGACTACACTGCTGTCCTGTATTATTACAACGCTGTCCTGTATTAGAATGTGGTGGTACATGTGTTCATGTTTCAGTAAGGCACAAACCCAAATCAGTGCATGATTTATGCAACCATAAAGCATCGACATCTAAAGTTAGGATTCCTGTAGTAGCGTAGGATGTTAATTATGCCTGAATGTGTGCCTGTTTGTGTGCTTACATCTATGTTTATGCCCTGTTGGCATGTACAGTGGGGAAAAAAAGTATTTAGTCAGCCAGCAATTGTGCAAGTTCTCCCACTTAAAAAGATGAGAGAGGCCTGCAATTTTCATCATAGGTACACGTCAACTATGACAGACAAATTGAGGAAAAAAAATCCAGAAAATCACATTGTAGGATTTTTTATGAATTTATTTGCAAATTATGGTGGAAAATAAGTATTTGGTCACCTACAAACAAGCAAGATTTCTGGCTCTCACAGACCTGTAACTTCTTCTTTAAGAGGCTCCTCTGTCCTCCACTCGTTACCTGTATTAATGGCACCTGTTTGAACTTGTTATCAGTATAAAAGACACCTGTCCACAACCTCAAACAGTCACACTCCAAACTCCACTATGGTCAAGACCAAAGAGCTGTCAACGGACACCAGAAACAAAATTGTAGACCTGCACCAGGCTGGGAAGACTGAATCTGCAATAGGTAAGCAGCTTGGTTTGAAGAAATCAACTGTGGGAGCAATTATTAGGAAATGGAAGACATACAAGACCACTGATAATCTCCCTCGATCTGGGGCTCCACGCAAGATCTCACCCCGTGGGGTCAAAAGGATCACAAGAACGGTGAGCAAAAATCCCAGAACCACACAGGGGGACCTAGTGAATGACCTGCAGAGAGCTGGGACCAAAGTAACAAAGCCTACCATCAGTAACACACTACGCCGTCAGGGACTCAAATCCTGCAGTGTCAGACATGTCCCCCTGCTTAAGTCAGTACATGTCCAGGCCCGTCTGAAGTTTGCTAGAGTGCATTTGGATGATCCAGAAGAGGATTGGGAGAATGTCATATGGTCAGATGAAACCAAAATAGAACTTTTTGGTAAAAACTCAACTCGTCATGTTTGGAGGACAAAGAATGCTGAGTTGCATCCAAAGAACACCATACCTACTGTGAAGCATGGGGGTGGAAACATCATGCTTTGGGGCTGTTTTTCTGCAAAGGGACCAGGACGACTGATCCGTGTAAAGGAAAGAATGAATGGGGCCATGTATCGTGAGATTTTGAGTGAAAACCTCCTTCCATCAGCAAGGGCATTGAAGATGAAACGTGGCTGGGTCTTTCAGCATGACAATGATCCCAAACACACCGCCCGGGCAACGAAGGAGTGGCTTCGTAAGAAGCATTTCAAGGTCCTGGAGTGGCCTAGCCAGTCTCCAGATCTCAACCCCATAGAAAATCTTTGGAGGGAGTTGAAATTCTGTGTTGCCCAGCGACAGCCCCAAAACATCACTGCTCTAGAGGAGATCTGCATGGAGGAATGGGCCAAAATACCAGCAACAGTGTGTGAAAACCTTGTGAAGACTTACAGAAAACGTTTGACCTGTGTCATTGCCAACAAAGGGTATATAACAAAGTATTGAGAAACTTTTGTTATTGACCAAATACTTATTTTCCACCATAATTTGCAAATAAATTCATTAAAAATCCTACAATGTGATTTCCTGGATTTTTTTTTCTCATTTTGTCTGTCATAGTTGACGTGTACCTATGATGAAAATTACAGGCCTCTCTCATCTTTTTAAGTGGGAGAACTTGCACAATTGGTGGCTGACTAAATACTTTTTTTCCCCACTGTATATCAGTATGCAACAACAGAGAGACAGACAGGCAGTAGTTGTTGGGGAGTGTGTCCTGAATGACTACAAAAGACTCTTAAACTCAGTCAAACACATTTTGGCTCAAAGAACAACTGTGGATTCTAAGCATTAAGTATTGAAGAGTGACTTGGGGTATAAGCCCAAAGCATAAAGTGTTCTATGTTCTATCCATGGTATATAAGGAGTCATCGAGTCTTGCATAATAAGTGTGGCATACCAGGAGGTTTGGTCAAGACGTTTACACAGATCAGACATGGACAGAATTGTATTAGCTCGGTTTCAAGGGTGTTTATTTAAATAATAAACAAAGAGAAAATAATAGGTCTCCTCCAGGAGACCTCCGGGATACCGTCTTCTGGGCTCCGGTGTCTTGCTGTATCCTGTAGGGAACAAAACCGAGCTCCCTCCGTTATCTCTGGTACTGAGCACTAATATATGGGAGTAACCTCTCTTCCCCACCCACATGTGCTGACCTTCTGGCAGCTTTATGGGACTCATCCAGCTGGTGAGCAATCAGCCCCTTGATTACTCACCAACCACAATCAGCTCCAATTAGTCCTGGCCGGAGAGCCCGTCGAGACCTGCCCCGTCCAGCAGAGGGAGCCATCGCTGCGTGATGTAGACTCGATGAGTGTCCCCCTGGTGGCGAACCTGCGGTACGCCACCCCCCCTAGCTCTGACGGGGAGGGGGCTGTCGTCAATGTGACGTATGTCTCCCTTCTCAATAGGGCATCCGCGTTCCCATGCTTCGCCCCGACCTGTGCCCAACAGAAAAAGAGAAGCGTTGAAGGGACAAGAACCACCTGGTGACCCGATCATTTTTGGCCCTTCCCCTGGCCATCCAGACCAGGGGAGCATGGTCTGTGACCAGGGTGAAGTGGGTGCCCAACAGGTAATACTTGAGAATGTCTAGCACCCACTTCACCGCTAGACACTCTTTCTCGACAATCTAGTACTTTTTTTCTCTGGGTATTAGCTTTCGGCTTATGTACATGATGGGGTGCCCCTCCCCATCGTGTACCTGGGACAGGACGGCCCCTAGTCCCGTGTCGAATGCGTCTGTCTGGACCAACATCGGTACCTGGAAATTGGGCGTTACGAGAATCGGATGGGAGCACAGTGCTTCCTTCAGGCGGCTGAACGGCGCTTCGGTCTCGCCCGTCCATTTCACTGTTTTCGGGAGGCGGGCCCTGGTTAGATCGGTAAGGGGGAGGCTATAGCCACAAAGTTGGGGATAAACAGGCTGTAGTATCCTGCCAGTCCCAGGAAGGACTCGACCTGTGTCTTGGTGCGTGGTACAGCCAGTCACGTACCGCGTGGACCTTCCTCTCTTGGGGCTTGACGTTCCCCTGTCCGATCAAATACCCCAGGTACTCCACCTCCTCGAACACTAGCTTGCATTTCTTGGGGTTCGCTGTCAACCCGGCTTGTCTGAGCGTGTCCAGCACCGCCTGGAGGCGCGTTCAGTGCTCTTGGCTGTGGATGATGATATCATCCAAATAGGCCGCTGCATACTGTTGTTGGGATCGGAGGACTCGGTCCATTAGGCGCTGGAACGTGGGCGGGGTTCCGTGGAGACTGAATGGGAGCACCCGGTACTGATATAAGCCGTCCGTTGTCAAAAACGCTGTCTTCTCCCGGGAGGAGTCTGCCAACGGTACCAGACAATATCCTTTGGTCAGGTCGAGGGTGCTGATGTATCGGGCCTTTCCCAATCGGTTGATGAGCTCATCCACCCTTGGCATAGGTTAGGCGTCGAACAAGCTGATGTTGTTCACACACAGGAAGTCATTACAGAAGCACAGGCCACCGTCCAGTTTGGGCACCAACACGATGGGGCTGCACCATGCACTGTGGGACTCTTTGATCACCCACATCCTCAGCACGGCCTTCCTTCGGGCCTCGGGGATCCGGTATGGCCTCTTTCGTACCGTTTCCCCGGGCCGGGTGTGGACGTGGTGTTCAATGAGGGTCGTGCGGCCCGGCTTCCCGGAGAACACCGCCGTATTCCGATCAACGAGCTCCCGGAGCGTTTGCTTCTGGGCTGGGTCGAGGTCCTCATTACTCGGGACCACCTCTGGTACCTTTGGTGTCCTGGGTCCCGACCATCACACGGCCAAGGCTGTCCTCTCGTGCCACCTCTTCAATAGGTTCACATGGTACATTTGTTGGGGTTTCCGTCTCCCCGACTGCCGTACGCCCTATGGATGCATTCCAGCTTCTCTATCACCTCGTACGGCCCGTGCCATGTTGCCAGGAACTTACTTTCTGCCGTGGGGATTAAGGCCAGCACTTTGTCTCCCACCTGGAATTCTCGGGGCTGGGTTCCCCAATTGTAGACCTGGGCTTGGGCGCGTGGGCCTTCTCCATATGTTCCCTTACCACTGGCCATATGGCTGTCATCCGCTCCCTCATCGTCTCCACGTGTTCTACCATGCTGCTTAAGGGGGTCGGCTGGGCTTCCCACACCTCCTTGGTGAGGTCCAGTATGCCGCATGGCCTCCTCCTGTAGAGGAGTTCGAATGGGGAAAACCCAGTGGATGACTGGGGCACTTCTCGGACCGAGACCATTAGGTGGGGTAGTAGCTGGTCCCAGTTCTTCCCGTCCTGCTCGATGACCTTCCGCAGCATTTGTTTGAGCGTTTTATTGAACCCCTCGACGAGCCCATCCGGCATCCCCTCGGACTCCGACTCCGGACCCATAGATACGGGGTATGTCAACCATTTGCTTCCGGGCCATGCAGGCGATGGGCCACGAACCTCCAGTCGTGGACCAGTTGGGCTCGATGGGCCTAGGCTGTACCCGTAGCGGCTGAGTATCTCCCGTTTGAGACCGTTGTAGTAAGCCGCCTGTTCGTCGTTAAGGTCACAAATACGCCTTTTGGGCATTCCCGGACAGGAACAGGGCCAGCAGACTTGCCCACTTAGGCCTTGGCCATCCTTCCCGTAGCGCTGTCCGTTCAAACGTGCAGAGGTATGTTTCGATGTCGTCGACCTCTGTTAGCTTGATTAAAAACTGGTTTGGATGCGATTCAGTAGGCGTTCCTCCTTGCAGCTTCCTGATTTCCTCAACGAGGCGGACATTTTGTAGCCGCTGTTCCTCCAGCGTTCTTTCCTGAACCGTCTGTTTTGCTTGTTAGGCCCGAACGAACTGAGGCTATCAACTCGTTTATGCTGATGCTGCGTACCCTGATCTGACCACGTTATCAGAATGCCCGCATCCTCCACCACTTGTGGCAGACCAGGGGGTTTGGTCAAGACGTTTACACAGATCAGACACGGACAGAATTGTATTAGCTTGGTTTAAAGGGTGTTTATTTAAATAATAAACAAAGAGAAAAGAATAGGTCTCTTCCAGGAGACCTCCTCCGGGATACCGTCTTCTGGGCTCCGGTGTCTTGCTGTATCCTGTGGGGAACAAAACCGAGCTCCCTCCATTATCTCTGGGACTGCGCACAACTATATGGGAGTAACCTCTCTTCCCCAGTCCCCACCCCCATGTGCTGCCCTTCTGGCAGCTTTATGGGACTCGTCCAGCTGGTGAGCAATCAGCCCCTTGATTACTCACCAACCACAATCAGCCCCAATTAGTCCTGGCCGGAAAGCCCGTTGAGACCTGGCACGTCCAGCAGAGGGAGCCATCGTCGCGTGATGTAGACTCCGTCTGTCACCAGGCCTCGACGAGTCTCCCCCTGGTGGCTAACCTGCGGTACGCCACATAAGATAATGGATAATGGTGATAGTATGCCATGAGTGGCCTTGCATGAAGATGGGCTGCATCTAATGTGTGTGTATGTGTGTGTTTCCTGCAGTGGACAATGTGTTGTCTGTGGAGGTGGGGGGGAATGAGACTCAGCTTACCTTGCGGGAGCTGCAGCCTAACCAGGCCTATCGACTGCGGATGGCAGCGGGAACGAGAGCAGGCTTTGGTGTGCCATCTGAGTGGGCTCAGCACCACACCCCAGACCACTTTAACCACAGCATGGGTGAGACCTCTCTCTCTTTCCCTCTTTCTCTCTCTCTCTCACACACACACAAACACACCCTTCAACTTTGGCATCAATAGCCTACACTATGTGAAAGTATCCACCACAATCAGTGACCTGACCCGGTATGGTCCTTATTTTATTTAACCTTTATTTATCCAGGTAATCTCAATGAGATCAAATCTATTTTTCAAGAGAGACCTAGGTCCAATCAAGACAGCAGCAGGGGGGAACAAAGTTTCAGACACATCTCAGGCATACAGTAATAACTTAAAGACAGAAGCACACCATAAACAAATTATAGATGTAGACAAATAGATATCCATATATATTATTATTATCCTTGTCCAAAGAGCAGCCTTCACTTTCCCATTATCATCCTATAACTGTAACCATACTAGCACTGAAAAGAACACTGCAGCCTTTCATTCAAGCTGACTGTTCATGGCTGGGCAATGTCAGGTTGTGTATACACCTTCTCCTACACATTTGCATCAGCCATACAATTGCTCTCCATTCAAGGGCAAGGCAACGCGGCTGACTCTGTGCCTCTTACAATGTGTGTGTGTGTGTGTGTGTGTGTGTGTCTGAGGTTCTTGGGAAAGGCAGAAGATTAATTTCTAAGAAATGGACAGAAATCTATACAATCCTTTTCTATTGAGTGACTGAGCTCTCACAAATTCCCTTAATGCACACGAGAAGAAAATATGTTAATGCACACAATAAGAAAATCTCTCTGAATAGGACCTCATTGTCAGTTCATGTGGATTACTGGAAGCTGCTGAGGGGAGGACGGCTCATAATAATGTCTGGAATAGAATAAATGGAATGGTATTAAAACACATAGAAAACATGTGTTTGATGTGTTCGATACCATTTCATTAATTACTATAAGCCATTACTATTACTGTAAGCCCGTCCTCCCCACTTAATGTGGCACCTGTTCTAGTTACAGGTCTATATAATTACATGATTTACTGTTATAGCCATTAGGAGATTGGTAAATTGAGTTGGTAAAATAAATCAATGTCTGGATCTTGTTTTCTTGAATCATGTTATGAGCGCTAGTAATGTTATTTCACGCAGGCTCCTTGTTTGCTTTTCGGTCTTTCCCAGTGATCTTTGCTCCCACAGAACTGAAGGTTAGGGCCAAAATGAACTCCCTCCATGTCACATGGCAACCCCCGCCCAATCACACGCAGATCTCCGGCTACAAGCTATTTTGCAGGGAGGTGGTTGGTGAGGATCTGACCAATGGGGAGGCTCATCCTGAGAGGGAGAGGGTCAGGAGGATGGAGGCCCATACCATCAAGCTCCGTAAGAGAATCAAACATCATGAGGTCACTAGTCTGGGTGAGTCTGGGATGTTCACATGCCAATGTTGTTTAAATCACTTTCTACTGCTACAGGTGATATTATTTGTATGGAAAAATTTGACTATTAATAATATGTTTGGAACTCGTGGTCATTATGCCAGGCTTTCTTGTGGTTATGTATAATTTGGTGTGTTTATGTGTTGAGATACATTTCTATATATTTCTGTGTGTGTGTCAGTTCCTGACAGACTATATGAAGTGAAGGTGTGGGCCTTCAATAAGCAGACGGATGGCTATGCTGCAGGATGGAAGGGCAGGACGGAGAAGGCACATGGCAAAGGTCTGTCTATTTATCGGTGTGTGTGTCTCTGTGTGTGTGCGTGCAAGTTTGTGTGTCAGTGTGTCTGTCTGTCAGTGTTAGAGTTAAAGAAAGTCTGTACAATACCAATATTTGTGTATAAACTGGCTGTGTGTGTGTTTTTACAGCGCCCCCTAAGGGGAACCCCCCTCCACTGCCCCCCAGCAGCATCAAGGCTACAGCCAACAGCTCCACATCCATCTGGCTGCGCTGGGAGAAACCTCGCTTCAGCAACGTCCGCATCATCAACTACACTGTACGCTGTAGCCCGGCCGGCATTAGAAACGCATCGCTTGTGTCCTACTACACCAGGTCAGTCAGGGACCACCACCACCCCAAACTGGACCTGGGTCACACACAGGATAATTGAAGAGATATCCAGCCTCTCTTGGAGGAAAATGGAAGTTCCAACTTCTAATATCTGAAGTTCGATCAGATTAAAGAAGCGCTTTTTATGAAATGGAATATTTCTTCCAGAATGGCTAAATCGATGTTCAGGTTATGAATGGAAGGAAGGATGTGTCCCATTTGTGACTCTTCATTCATTCATTCATTTTTTCTCTCCCAAACGTGTTTTGCAGCTCTGCTCAGGAGATCCTCTTGGGGGCGCTAAAACCCTACACCCGCTACGAGCTGGCTGTGCAGTCCAATGGAGTAGACGTGGTTGGTCCCTTCAGCGGCACCGTGGAGGAGTCCACTCTCACTGACAGTAAGTCTCTACTCTTCTCATCAGTGTAGTGGAAAAATCTATGCATCAGTGTAACATATAGGTGGATGTTTGTATTCAATATGCTCTGTCGCTCACTTTCTCTTCCTCTGTGTGGGTGTTTTTTGTTTCTGACAGTGGTGTGTAGTTGGTTGGTGTATGTGTGTGTGTGTGTGTTTTTGTTTTACTATCCTTGTGGGTGCCAGAAGTCCTATATAGTAAAACAAGGAAAATCTGGACCAGTGGGGAGATTTTGACGGTCCCCACAAGGAAAAATTATATTTTAGGCTTAGGGGTTAGGTTTAGGGTTAGGGTTACAATTAGGGTTACAATTAAGGTTGGGGTTAGGGTTAGGGGTTACGGTTAGGGTTAGGAGTTAGGGTTAGGTTAGTTTTAGGGCTAGGGGTTTGGGGTTAAGGTTAGGGTTATGGTTAGGTTAAGGTTAGAGTTAGATGTAGGGTTAGGGTAAATGGGATTTTGGATGGGAATCAATTCTTTGGTCCCCACAAGGATAGCAATACAAAACTCTGTGTGTGTGTGTGTGTGTGTGTGAGAGAGAGAGAGAGAGAGAGAGAGAGAGAGAGAGAGAGAGATAGAGGGAGACTGAGCAAGTGTGATTGAGGCAGGTTAACAGAGAAGGGATTAATCTTTAGCGGCGTAGGGAGATAATTGGCTGTAATTAAATGTCCAGATGGAAGTGGCCCTTGTGTTGGCCAAGAGCTGTCTGGGACAGGGCCCGTCAATCAGCTCAGCCAAGTGGTGTCAGGGAGGGGCCAGGGACGAGTGCTGATCTAGGATCAAGTCCTCTCTGTCCATATAATCTTATTCATTACGATCTAAAAGGTCAAACTGATCCTAGATCAGCATTGAGACACTTTGTGAATACTGGCCAGGAGGGGCCAGCAGGGGATTCGTTACCAGGGCAACGAAGAAGGGGTCTTTGGTTTGACACAGCAGGGGTAGCTGCCTGCCGGACCCCATACTACCGCCCTCTGTCACCTGAGACCCAGCCCCAGTCCCTGCCCTCTGCCCCCCCTCTATGACCAGGTGGCAAGGGTACCTTGTCCCAGAGGGGTGGCACACCTGTCCCAGTCAACCGCACAAAGCCTGTGTGGCCATCCCGCTGTGGTGCTTTATTTCTGGGGTGTAATTACTGACTTCACCCCCTGTGTCCCCAGTACCCTCCACCCCCCCAGCGGAGCTGCAGCTCAGTGCCTTGGACTCCTCCTCTGTGTTGGTGAACTGGCGCCCCCCTGTGGAGCCCAATGGCGTCATCATCAGCTACAGGATCATATACACCATCAACCTCAGCCAGCCTGAGCATCTGTGGAACAACCTCTCCCAAGATGGTGGGTGGCTGAAGCTGCTGCTGTTGCGAGGAACTGTGTGGGTGATATAAGTGGATGCAAATGTGACTGTTAATGACTCACACACACTCGCTCTCTCTCTCTCTCTCTCTCTCCCCCTCTCAGGGACCATCATGAGTGCTGAGGTAACAGGGCTGTCTAGTGGGTCACAATACTTCTTTAAGATGGGGGCGTCCACTGAGGTGGGGGTGGGGCCTTATTCCCCAGTGAAGGATGTGCACACTCCTCCCAAGAAATATGGTGAGTGGGTCTACTGTCTACACATTCTGTGATGGTGTGTGTGTGTTTGTGTGTGTGCGTCATCACTTACATAAGTATCTCTCAACACTCTCAATCACACACACACACACACACACACACACACACACATACACACACACACACACACACACACATAGTCCTTTAAAGTAGTTAATCCATCCCTGTCAGTGGGAGAGAGAGAAGCCTGCAGGAGACAGTCACTTTGGGGAGCCTGTGTAATTTCTCTCCTCACTCTCTGGCCAGCTGAGGTGAATATTAAAGGGGAGTATTAAAGGGGTGACCACAGCAGCCGCTGCACCCAGAGAGCTCTGTGAATCAACTTCATATCTGACTTTGAGAAGCAGAAGAGCTGTGGATGACACCTTATCGATAACCACAGTGAAGGGGCCTGTGACAGAGCGGCTCGTTCTACAAGGGCAGGGAAAAAGAAAGCTAGATATGTGCACACTGTTGAATGCTCCTGCAGTTTAATTGGGCTTCTCGAAGAGACCTCCATCAATCATCATCTATTTGTAGCCCAATGACACTTTGTCCATCAGAGAATAATGAACCCAACAGCTAAACTTGAGAATCTAGAAGCAAGCCAGGAGAGAGCTCCATTCAGAAACTAAAGGTCACAACATTGTAACTAGGGGAGTCCATCCTCCTCTGGTTGGCACAGGGCATTAGCTGAAACCACTGAGACGTAGAAAGACAGTGTAAGAAGACTGAGTAGCAGGTTTATTCTGGTCCTGCAGAGTTCGCCCCATATTGGGCTCCATCAGTCTTGCCAATAGTAAATGCAATGTGAATGAGGGCGACGTGGTTGGTGGGCGAGCGAGAGTAGACCGAGCACCATCTGTCCTCTCTCCACTCTGCTGCCAGATAGACAGCCATTGCCCAAGCTCAGTTAATATCTCCCTCCCTGGAAGTGTGAATTGGTTCCTTCATGGTCCGCTGAATTGATTGAGAGGTGACAGAATGGGTTTCATCGTACTGCATATACAGTATGTTATCATCCATCCTCCCACTTACCTTCTGTTCTCTAACTGTGTCCTGTGCTGACAGGTTTAAACGCTCATCCAGTATCTTGTCTGCTTTCTCTCCCCTTTCCTGCATGCCTTCCTGGGCTGTTCTCTGTTCTCTATAGAGCTGGACATCCATGCAGTGACAGGCATCATAGTTGGTGTGTGTCTGGGGCTGCTCAGCATTCTCCTTTGTATGTGTGTCAGCTTCCGCAACGGCAAGGCCAGGTAAGAAGGGGCCACTTGAAAGCAAATTACTGTGTCTATTTTAGTATGTCTACTTCAGTATGTACGTCTAGGATTTTAGGATCATTAAGCTTTCACTGGCATTGTAAGATTTAAGGGAAGGTGTGTGTGTGAAGCTGCAGCTGCAGAGAGACAGACAGGCAGATGTTGGGGAGTGTATCCTGAAAGACAGAGCACCACAGATGGCTGCTCTTGGTCTATTGTGAAGCTGTGCGATTAATGAGCAGGAAAGAATATGAAATATCATGTTTCCCTGCATTGGGTTTGGCAGGGTGTGCAGTAAACTGATTTAAATAGAAGTGGAGGATTTGGAGATGTTTTGTATAGCTACAGTATTAGGGTGACTTTTGTGTTAGACCCAGGGGGGGTCCATGTCTTCATGCTGCACATTTGACATTTCAGATTTGAATATTTTTGAATAATTTTGCATTAATACGGAACCATTATTATTACTGTCTGTTTAGCTCAACTGTTTGAATTTCAGTGTGTACTATAGTGAATCCAGCTAGCCATCACAATTTGAGATGGTGCGACAATATTTTGTTCATCCTACTGTTATAGTTTTAATGACTGCCTATGACAATGCATTCCTCATATTTGTTTTTAAAGGGATACTTCGGGATGTTGGCAATAAGGCCTTCCTTTATCTACTTCCCCAGAGGCAGATGAAATCATGGATAACATTTTTATGTCTCTTTGTCCAGTATGAAGGAAGTTAGAGATGGTTTTGTGTTAGCGCAATGACTGGAAGTCTATGGGTATCTGCTAGCATGCTAGTATATACCCATAGACTTCCAGGCATTGCGCTAACGCTAGTTAGCATTGGCTTGAGAAACTACCTCCAACTTCCTTCATACTGGACACATAGACATAAAAATGGTATCCACAAGTTCATCTGACTCTGGGGACGTAGATAAAGGGCCAAAATCCTGAAGTATTCCTATAAAAACGACAATTGTTTAATGATCATCCTTGTATTTATACTGTGCTCTGAGTTGAGACCATGTGCAGTGAGTTAACCCTAACCCCTAACCAGTGTCCCTCCTCTGTGCTGTGTAACCAGAGAGGTGTCTGGGGGGCTGGACTCCACAGCTCTACCCCCACAGTACCGTCGTGGGGGTAGGTCTGTACCCACCATGGTGCCAGAATGCAGTGATTGCCATGAGCTAGAGACCCTGATGCCCCTGGGCAGCCTGGACCATGACCATGACCCCGCCCAACCCCTCACAGAGCCCACTGAGGAGCACAGCCTCATGGGTAATGTAGGAGTAGGGGACGATGCCCTAGGAGCTGAGCTCAAGGTGAGTAGTCAGGACACAACTACAAATGCAGCACTTAGTGTGACAAATATAGTACTTTTCAAGGTTACTTGTGTAAGTGAGGAACCGGTTGTCTTCGTTTGGTTCAGTCGTGTTTTTCTTCTGACTTTGTCATTCTCCAGGCTGCTTGGAATGGGTCAGTTAGTCGTAACTGGGCCAACCGGATCACCAGATACAGGGATACCATCACAGAGGACTCTCCAACTCTCAACAATGGAACTCTGGACATGGCCAAAACAGAGAATGGCAAGGTATGTGAGCAGAGTTTGTGTGTATGTGTGTATTTGTGTGTTTGTGTGCGTGTGTAAAAGAATAAGAGGTAGATGGGGTAGAGAGTGGTTTGTGTGTGAGCGTAGTTTGTGTGTGTGTGCGAGTGTGCGTGTAGAAGAGCAGTAAGAGAGAGTTGGTGTGGAGGTAGAGTGGTTTGTGTGAAAGCTGAACAGGAAGTAATGAAACAGTGAACGAGGTATCAGGATGACGTATAGCTAATTAGAACGTGACACTCTGGCTGAAAACTAAATGAGCCGCTTGATCATGCATCTGATAAATGAATTACTCTGCCACTGTTAAGGCGCTCTCATACCCTTCAAAAGTGTGGGAGTGGAGAGCTATAATTAATCTATAATGAATCCCTAATTTATTTTGCAGTCACGCCACATACCACCACTGCTCTATTTTGCTGGTGACATTTAAATCGTATTCTCAATGATTTAATTTAGACAATGGTATGCAGTTCAGAAAGCTGGATAGCATAGCAAGAAATAATGACTGTGTTATATTGTATTATGGCTGCCTTTCTGTTATGATTGACACCACTGCTGTAAGGTCATTTACAGTTGTATGTTAATACAGAACAACAGGAGTAAAAACACACTGCCTTGTAGGACTCCACTGTTACATGGGCTGACTGTATGAAATTAAAGAATGAAATGTCTGCTAACTGTGTGTGTGTGTGTGTGTGGTGTGTTTCAGGGCGACCCTGAGGACCGACTGGGCTCCTCCCTGTGCAGCAGTAACCAGGTGGAGGCAGAGGTAATAGTTCACTCTGAGCTGTCCGACCTGGAGAAGGAGCAGCAGGAGGCGCAGAGTGACGGGGAGGAGGACTCTCAGGCCACCAGGGGGCCCTTACTGTCCGAGGCATCTTACTCCCCAGTCAGACAGCCTGCCCAGGCACCACAACATCCACGAGAGCCAGTCAGACAGCCTGCCCAGGAACCACAATATCCAGGGGAGCCAGTCAGACAGCCTGCCCAGGCACCACAACATCTAGGGGAGCCAGTCAGACAGCCTGCCAAGGCACCACAACATCCAGGGGAGCCAGTCAGACAGCCTGCCCAGGCACCACAACATCCAGGGGAGCCAGTCAGACAGCCTGCCCAGGCACCACAACATCTAGGGGAGCCAGTCAGACAGCCTGCCAAGGCACCACAACATCCAGGGGAGCCAGTCAGACAGCCTGCCCAGGCACCACAACATCCAGGGGAGCCAGTCAGACAGCCTGCCCAGGCACCACAACGTCCATCACAAGGGGAGGAGTCCCTAGAGACACAACCCCTGCCCAAGGTCCCATCCGGCCCTGTCCTGGAGCCAGTGTCCAATCACAATGGGCAGCCAGAGGGCATGGTTGGGGGCATGATGGGCGTGGCAGCCCAACTGACTGTAGATGTGGGGCGGCACCCAGGAATGGGGCTAACCAACGGCTTCCACTCCACCAAGCCCCTGCGGCCGGGGCAGGAGACCCTGGGGAACGGGGACTCCAGACACTGCCCTGCTCCCCCGTCCCCCTCTCCTTTTGTCAGCGCCGGCCTTGTCCACTCTAACTCAGCAGCGCACAGCTACCTGTGCCCTTAGCAAGAGGAGAAACAAACCCCCACACCAAGACTAGTTGGAATTCTTTCTTTTTCTCATCCATGATGAATCAAAGGATTTTTTAAAAAGCGCCTCAGTATCTGATTTTCTTCTTCCTGGCTCGGTTTTATAGGTACTTTGAATCCATTGTTTTATATGTGTATATATACAGTATATATTTTTAGTGCTAGTATGTATGGGTATTCATTTTGTTGCATAGCAGCAGTATGTTAGTCTGGCCTTACTCTGTACTTTGCTACAGGCTCCTATTACAGACGTACGACGACGGAAGCATATTGTAGAAAGGAGGTTATTCCTTTTTTCATAAGCCTTGACCTGTTGGACCTGTTGGACTCTGAGAATGAGCGTGGGTGTGTGGTACATCAGGACCGACCTTTGGTTAACTGATTATGGTGGAGAGGCTCTTGATTCAGCACCACGGATGAAGATAGAGCAGAACCATGACCATGTGGCCCTTTCACTCTCACCCTGGCTCCTTTCAAATGACTGAGCTGTTCCTATTGGCTTCACTGTATGGATGCTGCCTGCCCCAGCACCAGGAAAGAAGCCTTATCTTTACACACTCTGAGAGTGCAGACCTCCTGTCTCTCTCTCCAACCTCCTGCTGTCTCAGGATCCACACACACACAAATGCAAACACACACACACACACACACACATTCCCTGACTGGAGCTTGTGGGTCTCAGGTGCCTAATATTTTAGGCGCATTTTTAACCTCTGTATATTTATATAGATGATTATATTCAATAAAAATAGGACAAATATGTTGAAAATGAAGAAAAAGGAAAATAAATGAGGCAATTGAAGAAAATATGAAGGAACCGCATACAGTACATGTAGTTGATATAGGTTGCATTATTTTGGGGGGAGGACTAGATGAGACATGTACTGTAATCTTATAGCAGTGGTCTCTTGGTTTTGCTCCCAGTCAACAGCACTACCTCATTTCTTTACAGGATGGTTTGTTGGTGATTTTAATAGTGTCGTGCAGATAGGTGCAACTTTTAGAATCCGTTTTTTAACTGTTTGATTCAATACTTTCATGAATAACTGCCTATCCTCTTCTTTCTGTGTACATCAATGTGTATTACATTTACATTTTACATTTCCATTTTAGTCATTTAGCAGACCTACAGGAAATGACACGTATGGTACATAACGGCCTGTCTCAGATCTCTGTTTATTGCCCTTTTCCTCTTAATCAGTTGTTCCATTAGATCTGGGTTTCCAACTGTCGTCACTCCCCCCAATGTTACATCTACTTTGGATGGGAGCAGAAAAACATTTTTTATTTACCAATTACCTCAAATCACTTTTCACCTTAGGTAAATAATGCAGCAGTTTAGTTACCAGGCCTACTATATGGTAGCCTGTTACTAGACCTACTACAAATGAACAAGCCTCCATCAGGAGGCCTCACCCTTTGTGATGTCATCTCACTCATCCTTTCTCAGCTGTGTCTGAGCTCCTCCCTCTGCAGGTGAGAGGGGGATGGAAATATCATAGAGAAATAGACCTAGAAACCACTTCTATTTTCAGCCATATTTCCAGTCTTTCTTTGTACTTTTGACTCTCGCAAGCCTGAGGTCTTTCACAATACCGCATGTAAAGTCTACACCACTTTGAACTTTTTTCACATTTTGTTGCGTTACAAAGTGGAATTAAAATTGATCTAATTGTCTTTTTTGTATACTCTGTAATTTCAGTGGAAGAAAACGTTTTTTTAAAGATTCATGAAAAATAAAACACGAATATACCTTGATTAGGTATTCACCCTCCTGAGTCAATACATGTTAGAAACACCTTTGGCAGCGATTACAGCTGTGAGTCTTCTTGGGTAAGTCTCATAAGAGCTTTGCATACCTGTATTGTGCAATATTTGCCCATTATTCTTTTTACAATTCTTCAAGCTCTGTCAAGGTGTTGGGGATCATGGCTAGACAGCAACTTTCAAGTCTTGCCAAAAAAAATTCATGCAGATTTATGTCAAAACTGTAACTTGGCCACTCAGGAACATTCACTGTCTTCTTGGTAAGCAACTCCAGTGTAGATTTGGCTTTGTGTTATAGGTTATTGTCCTGCTGAAAGGTGAATTCCTCTCCAGGTGTTTTGTGTAAAACAGACTGAAGCAGGTTTTCCCCTAGGATTTTGCCAGTGCTTAGCTCCATCCGTTTTCTTTTCATCCTGAAAAACTCCCCAGTCTTTGCCGATGGCAAGCTTACCCATACCATGATGCAGCCACCACCATGCAGTTACTCAGTGATGTGATGTGTTGTGTTGGATTTGGCCCAATCATAAGGCTTTGCATTTAGGCCAAAAAGTCTATTCATTTTGCCGTGTTTTTTTGCAGTATTACTTTAGTGCCTTGTTGCATACATATGCATGTTATGGAATATTTGTATTCTGTATATTTGTATTCTTCTTTTCACTCTGTCATTTAGGTCATTATTGTGGAGTCACTACAATGTTGTTGATCCATCCTCAGTTTTCTCCCATCACATCCATTGAACTCTGTAACTGTTTTAAAATCACCTTATGACCTAATGGTGACATCCCTAAGCAGTTTCCTTCCTGTCCTGCAGCTCAGTTCAGAAGGAAGACTGCGTCTTTGATGTCTCTGGGTGATTTAATACATCATCCACAGCATAATTATTGACTTTGCTTAAAGAGATATTCAATGTCTGATTTGTTATTGTTACCCATCTACCAATCACTGCCCTTTTTTATGAGGCTCTCCAAAAGCACACCTGGTCTTTGTAGTTGAATCTGTGCTTGAAATTCATAACTTGGATTAATTTCCATGTGTCCTACCTTACAAAAAGTATGTCAACCCCTATTATTTCACACAGAGCGAGTCCATATAACTTATTATGTGATTTGTTAAGACAAATTTTACTTCTGAACTACTTTAGGCTTGCCTAAACAAAGGGGGTGAATACTTATGCAACAACTATATTTTAGTTATTTAATTTTTATTAATTTATAAACATACCATTTTCTTTTCACTTTCACATTATGGAGTATTTTGTGTAGATCAATGACAAGATAAATACAATTAAATCTACTTCAATCCCACTTTGTAACGCAACAAAATGTGAAAACAGTTCAGGGGGGTGTAGACTTTATATTGGCACTGTAAATAATCCTTCTGACAAACACTGATACTCTATTTTGTATTACCATCATGTTTTAATTTCTTCCTTTATAGCATTTTTAAACAAGGATTATTTAAACTTTTTATGGACGCTTACATTTCTTACACTTACCTTTGTGTACCCTAACAAAATATTTTTTTATTCAAAATAGTCTCTCCACACAAGGACAAGAATATCTCGTCATACTTTGTGTGAGGCTTTTTGTCTAAATTATAGTATACCTATATCAAAGACTACACAGGTATACTGGGCCTGTTGTAAACGTGGCCCAAGACATTGAGTCTTATGGTCTGTCAGGAGAATGAGGCCTCAGCTAGTCTAGATAGGTGCTAGAACTCAGAGGCATATAGAAGATCCTCATAACTAAAGCATTCCAGTTTTATACTTTGAACAGACCTCACTCAGGATCAGGCATGCTCAAACTTTCTCTAAGCAAAATAATGTCCATTTTGTGTTCTCATCTGACAACCCTTAAATGCATTGAAAACCCCATAAATTCTCAGTTGCGTACACTACATGCACTTGTTCTGGCTTTTTTTTCTCAAGACATATCCTTCTGGTCTATTGGGAACAATAGATCAGCACTTTGTTCCTCTGCAGCATGATCTTCAGGAAAACTTTCTCAGTCCATCTATAATCTATACAATTAGTCCAGTCATTATGGACACAAAATTCCTTTTAGAAATGGATCATTGTGCTCTGATTAACTCATTCAGGTTTATTTAGTCAGTTACATTTTGATGAAAGTGTCCACCCAATACAATATTTAGTAGGACTGAGTGTACAGTATAACTACCAATATCTATTTTAGACTGAGTGTAGCTGTGAGAAGGTGATTGTTTACAGCTAATTATAATATCACAAGCATACAGTATGTATTGTATCTTTGCAACATTAGAGAAGGTGTTACATGTTCTTTACTCACATTTCTACTGAAGCGTCTGTTTTTAATATACACATCTTGTAGTGTCAATCTTAGCTCGGTTTCAAACTCTTACTCAAGGGGCACCTATTGCAGCGGCTTTGTGTGGTCTGTTGAAAACAGCCAACATTGAAGACATAAAACCGCCTCCAGCATAAGGAATGTGTGCTCTCACTGAAGAAGTTCAGTTAGTTATTTTTACTATTTCCTTCTAACTAAATATCTTACAGTACATAGTGTTCCTTAGTGTAAGCATCTTTGCCCAGAGTAAGCAGATATGATGCTCAATGTAGTAATATCTTGCTCTAATTTGATCAAATATGCACATTAGTTCAATAGCGGGATCCTATCTTTTTTATAGAAGTTTTATCAATAGAATACCTCATTTTGTTGGTTAATTGTTCATTTAATGAAAATCATTACGAATAAAGAAATTATGTTTATGAGAATCATTTTGTGGGAGCCAAGCTTGCAGAAGATTACATAATACATTACACTGATTGTCTTGTCTTACCTCAGCTGGAAATATCACTTGTTGTAGTGGATTTCTTTTTGACTCTAAGCATAAACCCTTGAGTGGTGAGTGGATGCAGGTGCAGGACAGGGAGGTAAGGGGAGGAGGGTGAAGGCAAGTAGGGGTGAGGTTAGGGAAAGTAGTGCAGGGAAACCCCTGTGATATCAGTGCCAAGAAGAGTGGAGTTGTGGAGCTGTGATTGATTGTTGAAGAGGAATGTCTCCCTGCAGGTCTTACCTCTCAGTGCAGACATTTCTGTAGAATACTGGTCTTTACTGTTCTCTACTCAGGTGGCCTGTCTTTGCATGAAACTGTAGAGGAACATGCCAGCATGTACAGTATACCCGACTCTGAAGCATGTCATTGGTGGTCAAAAAA